CCCAGTTCTCCGGCTCTGAGGACGCAGCCCCTGGGGACAGCGGCGGCCTCGTGCCTGTCCACCTCCGCTGTCGTTCCGCAGTGAGTCCGTCAGGGTGCCGTGTGCTGGCAGGAGGCACTGAGGTGCTCAAGTGCGGGCTTAAGGTCCGCTTCCCAGCTGGGAGCGGGAACGGCTGGGTCCGGGGGTCCTCCCTGAGAATGGGGTGCGACTCCCTCCTCCAGGAGGACACAGCAGTGGACGCTTCTCCTCACGGTTCACGCATTGGGTTTGCCATCAGGACCATGTAATGGTCTCCCCAGCCTACCTGACACCCTGCCTGACACCCTGCCTGACACCCTGCCTGTCACCCTGCCTGTCACCCTGCCTGTCACCCTGCCTGTCACAGGTGGAGAGCTTCTAAGCTGGCCTCGGCTGGCCTCTGACCCTGTGCTTGGCAGGTCCTGCCCGAGACCTGGCTGCTGAAGAGGACAGAACCCCCTGCGGGCACCCAGGAGGCCTGGCAGGCCCTGGGCGGTGCTGTTCAGTCTCCTGTTGACAACGGCCATCCATGACGCAGCCCCTGGGCCACCCCCAGGAGACGTTTGCCTCCCTGTCCCCAGAGCCTCCAGTGGCCGCTCTCAGGCCGGTGCCTCTGAAATCCCCTCCTAGTGGCACAGGGAGCCAGGGCCAGGCCTTCCTGTATGAGTGTCCACACAGAGACACCAGCCTGGCCCTGGATCTCGGGGTCCTCTGGCTTAGGCTCCAGCTTTGGGGTCTGCGGCCACAGGTGCTGGTCTGGTGGGGCTTTGTCCACAGCAGCGTTATTTCACGTGGACAGTTGCACTCGCAAATGGCCCCGTTACCCTTTGGGTTGGCTTTGGTGTGGGCTGTGCTTCAGAGTGTGAGGACGGGCAAGGTGGACGTCCTACACGCACCTAGCCGCGGCCGGGCTAGGCCCACGCTCCTCAGAAGCGCATCGAGAGGGAACCAGTGCTGACTCAGGCCGTGACCCAGAGGGAGTTTCGGGTGTGGGCGGCGCTGAGTGTGAGGCCTGGGCGCTCAGGACCACCCCTCTCCCACAGCGTGCCAAGGCCCAAGGTGCTCTGGGTGCAGTGGACGGGCGCGTCATTCCTGCCAGGGACCGTCTCTGGCTCTGGATGCGGAACGGGGTGTGCTGGGGGCTCCCGGAGGCTTGTTCCCCTGTCCTTTTGGCCTCTGCTGGGCTCCTTGGGTGGGAGTCAGGATGGGTGGATTCCGTCTCAGGGAGGACCGGGCGTTAGCAGATGGATGGGGGTGGATGCCGGAAGGTCTGGGTGTGAGCCAGCCTGCGTCGGCGGGTCCTGTGCGGGTGGCCCTCTGCAAGAGGACGTGTCTGCCAGCATAATATTTAGTGTCCTTTCGGGCTTTGTCTAGACACTCCCTCGCCTTCAGTACCGTCTTAGAAAATGACCATTGTCCCCGTCTCCGTCACACAGGGCCCCAAACACACTTGGAAAGCAATTTAGCTCGTCCGTGAAATAGCTGAGCCCGGTAGCTGCAAATCAAACGCGAGTCCCGGAAGCCGCCGCCGCCCGGCACTCCTCCACACTGGCGGTGCAGGCCCTGAGGCCAAGGGGCGGTGACCCGTCTCATTCACATGAGTGGGCGTCCGGTCCGCCGAGCCCCGTCGTGGACACAGGCTCTTGGCCTTGGCTATCCAGTGTTGTGGTGCCTGGATGGCCGACCCAGGACCTGTTTTTGAGGTCATTGGAGGTCATCACGGTGATCCAGCCTGGTCTGCCTGGGGTCCTCAGAAGACCACCGTCAGGACACAGCACCCAAAGGCCCGCTGAGGCAGCAGGGAGCAGATGCGCTGAGGCCTCGGGAGGGCCCAGCCCGCCACACCTTGGTCCCGCACTTGCAGCCCCCAGGATGAGGGACAGTGTCTGTCGCTAGGGCCCAGGTGTGGGGCTTTGTTGTGGTGGCCCAAGCAGCTAACACAAAGCAGGACACAGACCTGCAAGACCCGCAGGCCTGGCCCTGGGGCATCAGCGCCCTGTGAGTCCTCGGCCGTGCCCAGCGGGGGAGGCGTGCCCAGGCTGGACCTTTGTGTCCAGGGCCCTGAGCTCCAGGGAGGTCCGGGCCGGCAGCTGCCCCTGCCTGTCCCCGGGGCCAGGTGTTCTCAGCTCCTGCTCCGTCT